CCCCCCCCTGTCCCCCGCCCCTTACCCCCAGGGTTTGCAGCAGAGCCCCTAGGGCCGCCCCCATTCTTACCTTCGGCTGTGGGGAGAACCCGGAGGAGCAGAGACTGGGGGGCAGTAAGACAGGGCACTGGCCACCACCGTGGGCTCAGCCCCCCCCCTCCGGGCAGCGTCCCAGGCGCTTTGCCCCCTCCCTGATAAGGGGGGCAGGAGATAACGCAGCGTTCTGGCTTCCCTCCCCCAGGACTGAAAAGGGTGGAGCTGTGGGCCAGGCAACCCCAGAGGCCCTGGAGACAGCTCAGTGGTGATCTATGCCCCATCCGTCCCCAACTGAGGGCTGGCGACACTGGGCTGCTCCCCCCAGCCCTTGAGCTCTCTGGCCAGGCAGGGGTGGGATCCCTGCTGGACCCTGGCGGATCCCACGGAGCAGCCGCTGTGCTGCCTGGAGCCTTGTCCCCTCCCCTGGGGGTGGAAGTTGTGGCAGGGGAAAGAGCAGCCGCTGGGCCAGTGGCGCAGCTGAGGGGAGGGGAAGGGGCAGGTTCCCCGCCCCCCCAATCCCTGACCAGCCCTGGCAGTGGTGAAAGCGCAGGGGGGTGCTTCTCCCTGGCTGGCTCAGGGTAGCCTGGAGGCCGCTGGCAGGCGGAGGAGAAGGCCAGCGGGCTGTGCCACTTATGTCTCGCACTGGGCGAAACCCACACGGGAAGGGGAGCAGGGCACCAGGCAAACCAAGCCGGCCGGGGCGGGGGGAGGACGACGACAGTGGCAGGTGAATTGCGGCTCCGCTGCGGCGCTGGAAACCCAGCTCGGCAAGCGCAGAGCGGAATGCAGGCGGCCCCGGGGCCGTTAGACCAACGAGCAGCAGGCAGGGTGCCAGCCCCAGCGGCTGAAGGGTAGCGACTGGCCGAAGCCGGGCGACCTGAGGCGTTAGTGCTCTAGGTCTGCCGAAGGGAAGCTGCTACAGTGCGGAGGAGCAGACAGAGGGGCCCATGAAGACTGGAGGGGCGCGGGGCTCAGGGTCCCGCAGCGCTGGAGCGAGCTGAGGCCGTGTGTCTCGGGACCCGCGCAGGGCGCCTCCGGAAGCAGGTGTCCCGGGTTCACCACGGATTTGGGCCTCTGGTTGGAGCGTGGGGAGCTCCCCGTGTCTGCTCCTCTCCAGCGTGTTCGAGCTATGCAGAGGCGAAGGGCCAATTTACACAACTGTGCAAAAGGTGGAAAATGTACAGATTCCTGGCAACCCTAAAATGACGATCTGTAAATTAAACAGGAGTTCAGATCCACTTTCTAGATGTTTGAGGTGGCTCAGAAGTTCCTCACCTCTGTGCTGGAACCAAATGTAGCAGCGGATTATATTCAAGTTAAGTGTCTCAATTGCAAACTTGCCAACCAGCAGGAAGACAATTTGTATCTCATCGAAAACGTGCAAGACACTGGAACGGCAAGCTCAGCTGAAATACGTATCTAGAGCTTGTGTACCACATTGTGGCAAATCAGCATGTTTCATTACTAGACAACCTTCCTTTCGTTATGAAACTCAAAAGTACAACTGCAAGACATGATTAAAAACCTGTGATTTAAAACAAGGTTTCTTGCTTCATGATTGAAATTGGGAATCTAAATCAAGTCACACTACTTAAATGTAATAAAATGTGTCATGTGGTATATTAAAAATGCCTCGTGGGCAGAAATTAATATAGTTTTTTTATAGGAATGTTAAGTAATTTTCAACAAATAATGGTACAGGAGTTAGATTATATCAGAATTGAGTGCGAAGTAGGAGAAAAGGGAGACTGTTTCAAGCATGTGATTTAAGAATGTTATAAGAGGGGGATCGTGTGATAGGTAAGAGCAGAGAAGCTCTGAAGCAAATCCTATATAGATACAAGACCCAGGCGTTAGGGATAGACGAGGCTGGGTTGTTGGTAAAGACGATACTGACCGGGCCAAGAAATGGTTAAAAAACATCTGAAACAGTCTGGTTCTCCTGGAATGTTAGAGGATTAAACATCCCAATAAAACAGGAGTGGGGAACCTTTTTCCTAAAAATGAGCCAGGGGCCTTACAGCCCGAGGGGGAGGGGGGCAGGGGCAGAGGCAGGGGCGGAGGCTTGGTTTTCTGAGGCTTTGGAATTAGGGTTGACCCCTTTCCTATCCTGACAGGTCGGATGCCATTGCTGTGAATGGCAGTGGTGCCTGGGCTGTCCAGTTGGGAATGCTGGCAACCCTATCATTGGGAAGGGACCAAAACTCAGGGGTTCGGGGTGCGGGAGGGGCCTCTGGGGAGGGGCTGGGGATGAGGGTGGGGGGCTCAGGGCTAGGGCCAGGGGTTGGGGTGCTGGTGGAGGTGCAGGGTACGTACTTCCAGCAGCTCTCAGATTTGGAAGCAGCCAGCTTGTCCCTGAAGCCCCACAGCTTCCATTGCCCATGGTTCCTGCCCAATGGGAGCTGTGGGGGCCGTGCTGGCCGGTGAGGGTAGCATGCAGAGTTTCCCAGATCACTGCAAGCCAGCCCCGCAGGGGGTGCCGAGGCTCACGCCTTCTGGCCTATAGCACGGAGATTTGCCATGGGCCTGATGAAATTAAGCAGGAGGCTGGATTGGGCCCCACCCCTGCAATAGAACAGTACCGAAGGGTCGCTCCAGCAGACTAATGTTAAAGCTTACACACAAAGTGAAGGGGTGCCCCATAGGTATGACCCATCTCCCAGAAGAGAGGGGAGCACAGGCTAAGCAAACAAGGCAGGTAGGAACATTAAAAGATTCACATGACAGATGGGTTTTATTACATGGGTGTATTGGGGGTAAACATGTTACAACATGTAGCATATGCTACCCCCTTCTTCCATAGCACATGAATTCTGGCAGTGGCTCAGAAGTCACAAGCAATTACAGTTGCTTGTTTTGATTGGATGTAAGCCTGGAGGTTTATCACATGGCCATCTTTAATTAAAGATTAATCTTTGATTCCTGGAGGCTCTAGGACAATTCTGGGGGGATTGGTAACCCCATGGGCCATAGTGGCATGTAACTAACCCAATGGGGAATAGACTACCTACTAGACAATACGCTCCATTTTTAAAAAAAATCAAATAATAGAATCACTAGGATACAAAGAATAGGTGTTTTTACACTCTCATGCACTTTACTTTTGCCTCAGAAACTGTCAAAACATGCTAAATAGAATGAATGCTAAGCTTTAATAAATTATATTCTTTAGTGTTAGAATAAGCCATCTCTCTGGCCATGTGTCTGTGAAAAGACAGCACAACTCAAAAGTAGCTGCAGTTTTAGAAATCTGTTGCTAAGACATTTTTTAATAATATAATCAACAGTTTTGCATTTAAAGCAAAATCCCTCAGAGGCTGTATTGTGTGAAAAACAGACCCAGCCGAAAACCAGGCTGGCTTATAGGTGCAAACAGAGTTTGCAGAAGCAACCCAACATGACTAATAGTGCGGCTTTATGGCCAGGGCTTACAAACCACAAAACTGGCATTAGGCTAACCGAGAAACCCTGCCAGCCCTCGTGTGCAGAGCTCCAGCGCTCAGAGCGCGTGGGGCAAGGCGGCCAGGTGACTAGCCAGCCTCTTAAGAGACGACCCAGAACTACCTGCTGTTGGTCACGGGCTGCGGAGAGTTTCCAGGTGCACAGCTGGCACAGCAGCACGGATCTGGGCTGCTTGTGGACTAGCCACTTGCTCACGAGGGGGTCTCATGCCCTTCCCAGGCAGGATTCACTGCAACTCCCAAGTCTTTTTCTGGGCAGTTTTATTCAGATATAGAAGTGAAACAAACCATTAACCGCAACAGACATTCTTCTGCTTCCCTGGGCTGCAGCACCTTGAGGTTTTTTCTTCCCTTGTCTCTCGATACCGGAATGTCAGTACTCAGTACACTACCCTGCATTCCCTCCCCTCTGCTCCCCATGCTTCAGGGGAAGCATGCAGAAGCACATCTCAGCTTCTCCCTTGCCAGCTGGATCTGATCGACGAGCAGGGCTGACCCCGAAGAAGCATGCCACCCTGTAATATAGAAAACTCTACTGGAGTTTCGGCATAAGCATGGCTCAACTGTGTGTGCCTGCCTGCCCTGCCATGCTCAATGGAGCCATAGAGGTTAGACTATCCTGTCTATTAGCACTTTCATTCCTTCTCCCCTACCATGTCATTCAGCAGCAACACACTCCACATGGATTTTGCGTTGCTTTTTCCGATACTAACCTGGAATGGAAGGGACATAAAAGAAGCCGTTTTTGGAGCTAGGACTAGGACAATGATCTTCTCTTGCCACAGGCTGGCACCCTTGCTCCAGGATTTGCTCAAAGGGCCATCAGTCACCTGGCTCCACAAAGCAATTCTCAGAAGCACCACTGCCAGTGCTAGCTCCCCCCACAACTCCTCTTCACAACCAATTAAATGCCTGCCCTCCGGGTTAGCACTATTTAGCAGAGTTGTGACTATTTGCTTCCACTGTTTGATCTGAGGTAGTGGGTCTGGCCCACGAAAGCTCATCACCTAAAAAACCATCTTGTTAGTCTTTAAAGTGCTGCATAGTCCTGTCTTTTATTTAGCAGAGTGTTTGTGAGGGTGATCTCTGTTTACCTTAATTTGCAGGTACTTATTGGAAGGTGCCACCTTATTTAATAAAGAGGAGCATCATTATTCTGCAGCTTTCCAGATCGATGGGTATTGGATGCATTATGATGGACTGAGAAATGTCAACTTAATTTTGTTAAATAAACCCCCAGAATTTCTTCTTTTGTCATCTCTGGTTTATATTAGGGCAGCAGAGACTAAATGACGTCCGTCTCACGGCTGCAAAGTCAAATCACGTTCCCTTCTCTGCCAACAATGCGGACCCACCCCACGTGGAGGTCTACACTTTATGTATACTTGGTATCCAAGAAGAGAGTAGAACTACAGTAGTTCTGGGATTGTATCCAATGCTTTCACTCGAGCTAAACATTTGAAATCAGAAACACTATGCAATTTTTGTTTTAAAAAAAGAAGCTATTTTTATACAAGCAAATTTTATGCTAAAATAAAAAAGTAAAAACCCAAGAATGGTTGTATCCTTTGTTTTTTTTAATTACTATTTCAAAGTAGCTAATAGAACTGGCATATGTGATCTTGTAAATGAAAGATTAATGATAACGCACAAAGGGGGTGGGGTAGAGTTAAGGTTGCACAGCGCAGCTTAGTTCTGGCATTTCTTCATTTATGGGTGTGCTTGAGTTCATGGCTTAAAAACAGTTTAATATAGGAAATTACATTAAAAAACCCTGAGTAAACCCAAGCTTTCACAAGCAAAATAAGTATCAGTTATCTAATGCCCATTCCATCCACCAGCAGGCTCTGAGGAACATGCATAACTCACAGAAAATCTGTGGATTACATGTGCATGAATAGCCCCATTTTACAGACAGCACAGCGGAGTAAAGTTGACAGATTATTTCTGAGCCATAGAGTGGCTAAATGATTGAGTGGCATTTGCCACATGGAGGCTCTAGATGCTCTGTCCAGTTTGTGTAAACTCTCCCTGGGATAGGACTCCCTTGTTCGACAGGGTACTGAAATATGAACACGTCAATAGAAGTGGTTCTTGACTTGCTGGTTCCTTGCCCGTGGCCCCATGCTACATAGCAAAAGGTCTGCTGCTGTGGGGAGTCAGATCTCTGCTCTCTGTGCCTGACCTAACAAGGGGGAAGGCCCACAGGAACACCACAAGGCATGCATGCTGCTAACGCGATCTACACTGTTCCTGGCAGCATGCTACAAACAAGCTGTTAGAAATCAGTCTCTCCTCTGTACTGTGCTAACAGCAAATAAATTAGGCAGCAAAAAGTAGCCTGTGGCAAAAGGATTAGCCCTCTGACAAAATGTAAAGTTCTACTGCAAGTCATAGAATTATTGCAAAAAAAGGGAATCACATAGTATAGCACCGATGTTGAGGGGCACTCTACAGATATGTCTACACTGCAGAGTTTTTCCAGGAAAACAATCCTTATGTCTACACTGCTATTTCATTCTTTTGACAGAAAGTTGAAAGAATGGAGGGGTTTTTCTGACTGCGGTAATCCTCATTTACCAAAGCAGCAGCCTTTTTCCAAAAAAGCTTTTTCGGGAAAAAAGGCATGCATGGATGTGGAAGAGAGTGGTTTTTTCGAAAGAAGAGGCCTCCAGGAAAAAGCACAGGTGCCCTGGTGGCCACTCCGTCCACAGAAAACACAACTTACATGCAAGATAGCGTCCAATCAATGTGGGTGCTATCTTTTGAAAAAGCAGATTGCTTTTTTGTTGTGCTTTTGCTGCGTGGATGCTTTCTTTCTGAAGTTTTTCTGGGAGATCGCTTCCGGAAAAGCTTCGTCCGAAAGAAGCCTGCAGTCTGGACGTAGCCTACATTAAGTTGTCAGCTTTTGCACTGTCCTCTGAATATGCAGATTAAAGAGCTACATATTTTATGCAAATTAAGCCATCTTTACAAGCATTTTATCTGTTCATCTCAACGGGGTCTGACTCAGACTCTGTACTTTGTTTTTCAAGTGATCTAGCTATTAGTTTTAGTAACTTGCCAGTAAAAAGCAAACAAATGTAAGCTTCCAGAACAGATTTTCAGGGTAGAGGCAGAATTCTCAACTAACCAAACACTAAAAAAATACATTTCACCATGGAGGGAAGGTTGCTGGTCGTCCCCCGATTCTTCAGGAAAGGACAGCAGAAATCATTTAGAAGCTTTCTGGGCCTGCAACACCTAACTCCTCTGTCCTTACTCTTTCTGGTTGTAGTTAGCCAGGCCGTGAATCTGGGCTGTTTTAACATGTGCGGGTGGTAACTGTGCCGCTTTTACCTATCCAAAACACTACCTCCCCCCTCCCTGACCTCCTCACCTTTGCTCTGCCTGAATTCTCTCTCATACATGCACACACCAACATAACTGGACTATCTGTGCAGAAGGACCAAGAACACAACAGATATGTTTGCTTCACGATGGCTTTTCCAAGAAAGTATTTTGCAAAAGCCTGACACATTAAAGGCAGCCAAGAGCCGCAGTAGCTTATGCTGGACCTGCACCAAAAGAGAGCAGCTTGGAGGGTGCATTCTGGGATGTTACAAACATGCAAAGCTAATAGGAGCAATGTCAGTTTTTTGGCTCTGCCACATCCCTCAGGTTTGCAGCTCGGCCCAATGGAGCTGGAACGTCATGTCCAGAAAGCCGGAGACCCGCCTACAGTCAAATACTGGTATTGCTGATGATAACCTCTGCTGCTGCATTTAAAAGACAAAAATCCCATGAATCGAAACTGCCAAGCCCATGTTAGTGACATTGTTACCTTTGCGCACCTCATTCCCTTCCTGCAGATTTCAGGAGAGAAACATTTAACGGGCATCTTAAAATTGAGCTGTAGCCACGAGGGGGTCCCCGAGTTCTCCCCTTCCCCACTAGAGCCAGAATCCCTTCCACCCATGCCAGGAGTGGCCAGACGTACCCCCGATTCTATCCCTGGAAGGGTATTATTTTGATCTCTTATCCGAACGCAGAAGGGGATTAACACGTTTATATTTGATACGGTCTCGCATGATATTCTTATTGATAAACTAGGCAAATATAACTTAGATAGGGCCACGATAAGGTGGGTGCATAATTGGCTGGATAACCGTAGTCAGAGAGTTGTTGTTAACGGTTCTAAATCCTGCTGGAAAGGGATAGCAAGTGGAGTTCCTCAAGGGTCTGTTTTGGGACCCGTACTGTTCAATATCTTCATCAATGATGTAGATATTGGGATAGAGAGTACGCTTATTAAGTTTGCAGATGATACCAAACTGGGTGGGGTTGCAACTTCTTTGGAGGATAGGGACATAATTCAAAATGACCTTAGCAAGTTAGAGAAATGGTCAGAGGTAAACAGGATGAGGTTTAATAAAGAGAAATGCAAAGTGCTCCACTTAGGAAGGAACAATCAGTTCCATACATACAAGATGGGAAGCGACTGTCTAGGAAGGAGCATGGCGGCAAGGGATCTAGGGGTCATAGTGGACCACAAGTTGAATATGAGTCAACAGTGTGATGCTGCTGCAAAAAAAGCAAATATGATTCTAGGTTGTATCAACAGGTGTGTTGTAAGCAAAACTCGTGAAGTCATTCTGCCGCTCTACTCTGCACTAGTTAGGCCTCAGCTGGAGTACTGTGTCCAGTTCTGGGCGCCACATTTCAAGAAAGATGTGGAGAAATTGGAAAGGGTACAGAGAAGAGCGACAAGAATGATTAAAGGTTTAGAGAACATGACCTATGAAGCCAGGCTTCATGAACTGGGCTTGTTTAGTTTGGAAAAAAGAAGATTAAGGGGGGACATGATAGCGGTTTTCAAATATCTAAAAGGGTGTCACAAGGAGGAAGGAGAAAATTTGTTCCTCTTGGTTTCTGAGGACAGGACAAGGAGTAATGGGCTTAAAGTGCAGCAGGGGAGGTTTAGATTGGACATTAGGAAAAAATTCCTAACTGTCAGGATGGTCAAATATTGGAATAAATTGCCAAGGGAGGTGGTGGAATCTCCCTCTCTGGAGATATTTAAGAACAGGTTAGATAGACATCTCTCAGGGATGGTGTAGACGGAGCGTGGTCCTGCCTTGAGGGCGGGGGGCTGGACTCGATGACCTCTCGAGGTCCCTTCCAGTCCTATTATTCTATGATTCTATGATTCTATATTGGGAATCTGGTAGAGGTTAAAAAAAACCACCCAGGCATAAGCAAAAGTTAAGACTCCAAAGGGAAATAGGCTCATATTAACTAGTTCTTTAAAGGAGTGGGGAAAGGAAATCATTTTTTTAACTAAGTTTTGCATCCCCCCTCCCATGGAACTACATTGTGACATCCCTGTTACATGTGTCCCCATCCTATTGTTTGCCAAACCCACTCTGATATCCTAGCCTATATGCAGGTCCTGACAGTTCATGTGTAGGCTGCGTAACCTGCAGCGGCTCCAGGGATTTCTACAGGGCTTCATGCAGGTGCTGCAGTGCACGCATGTACTAGCAATTGAAGATTGGAATCAAACTGAGAGCTTGTTTTAGCCTGTACAACTCAGTTTGGCTCTTAGTTGAGGTCTCTAGCTACTGCTGCAATACCAGTAACACAGCAGAGCTACTCTAAAAACTCTGCAAGGGCCACAGGACATTGGGAATCTGGGAACTTGAAGGACCTGGAAGAAAAGCACTGGCACTGACACTGACATATGGTTTAAACAATTGTACCGCTAGAGGTTCCCATGCCGTGGAGGTTGGGTCACACTGCTCTCAAACATGCAGTGAGAGGCACCTGAGACTGCCGAACACTTTGTGCCCAGAACATGAATTTTGCGGTCAGAGAAAGGTTTAAATCGGTAGGACGTGTCAAGTTTTTCTTGAAACTGAAATTTCAGATAGGAGTCTTAGACCCTCGTCTCCACTTGGTGGACAGGTACTTGTGGGGTAGAACAGGAGAAGGGCTTACTCCTACATACCTTGTGAGGTATGTGCAACAGGGCACTGCAGTGGAAAAAGACAAGCACAGATTATAGAACTTCTCTTTATAAAAAAATGTATTTTAAAAATGTCCATTGAGCATGTTAAGTGTAACATTTACCCATACAAAGAAACATGCACAACTTTTTAAACTTTGCTGCCTTGTGCACAGGCACGGCTTTCATGAGACTTATCACGTATTGTATTTTATATGCGAATGTACACACACAGCCATCACAGCATTACCTGGGTGAAAGATGCAGGTGTGTGGGGCAGGACTACAGTTTAAGACTACGGTATAAACTCCTCCTCTGAAGTGGCTTCTGAGAAAGGCCTCAAAAGCAGCGTAACAGACAAAGGTCAGAAAGCAGATCTCTGAAAATTATGCTCTCTCTTTGGTTTAATACTAATTGGGAACTAGGTCCTGAGACCTAAATGGAGCCGCAAGGCCCTTAAGGGACCACATCACATGGACGTCATTGCATTTGATTGCATTTAAAAGCAGGATTAAAACCAGCATGCGTTTGCATTCACCATCCAGCCAAAATGTAAAAATAAAATCCTTTTTGCCCCAGATTTATTTAGTAAACATTTCACATTAAATGAAATACTGTTACAACAAATTGTTACAGCGCATTGTCACAACAGCAAACACATATTGAAAATACTATTAAAGAACAAAAATGCAAGTTATTCAGCAGTTTTTAAAACTCAAATGCCACTTATGAAAACAAAATCCTGCTGCTAAAAACGGTGTACACATGAAAATACTGTACAGACACAGAACTATATTTCTCATCTGAAACTCACAACCAGATCACACCTCACAAGTCAGAGTACAATATGGTACTCACTGTACAAAGGTTCCAACCTGCTTAAAGTTAAAATTCTCCTTGGGTTTAAAGTACAGCACAGCACGTAAGGCAAAATATAGGAATTATCATCCAGTTCTTTGAGTTTTAATTAAACATCAGGAATTTAAGGCAATCTTGGAAAATTTTTGCATTGTTTTATATAAATGAGTGGGGACTTACAGGTGACAAATTCACAAAAGCAACACTTAACTACCTCCAGTAAAACAGTTAGCTACTTGTAACACCAGAGCTGTATATTGGACACATTTGTCCCCTCAGAGATTCCAACTGGATATTCCAAAACGAAAGCATTTGGAACTGCAATGACTATCAGGAAACTTGCATATGGCATTTTATTAAGTTTCTTTTAAACAACTGAGCAAAAATCCAATGACTTTATGAACACACAAACTCACACCTATTTTAAAGTGCTTTCAAAAATAATCGTGTAATTAAGAAATAGAACTGGATGATAATTTAAATTGTATGACATCTTGTTTGAAGGTCTTAACTTTCAGATTGCATGAAAGATGGTACAGGCTGTACCAGGTTTATTTTAAATGCTAAACTGATTGCTGTATCAGATCTTCCTAAAATGGAGCACTTCGGTGATCAGCACAAGCAGCGTCCAGAACAGAAAAATGAGTATGTCATATCTGTTAGCGTACAGGATTCCTAAGTTTGACAGGCCGACAGCATATCTGAGTGTTCATCTTACACTGATGCACTTTATCAATATCCAAGCTAAACAGACCTGTATCTAGAAACAGCAGGATTTTTCATTAACTATTACTTCTTCCATTCTTAACATCAAACCTGAATACTAAAATGTTGCTTAATTTGGTATTCTAAATTTAGCAATAGGCTGCATTAACCTCAGTATCATGTGAAGTGGTAAGTCTATTTAACAATTTAATTTCACTATTGCCTAAATGAAAGGAATAACATACACTGCACTTGTAAAATGCTTTGAGATCCTGAAATGAAAGGCGCTATCTAGATATTGACAAACTAGCACCATACCGGTCAGGTATGAATCTACTGACACCAGACCACGTAAGTCCATCTATTGTGCCACTTTCTGCACATGAACTTTTGTTTACTAATGATTCAAATGAGACTTAAGTGTGTATGTTAAAAAGCTGCATTCATGGAATATTCTTGTAAAAAAATTCTGTACATGTTGAATTACACACAAACATCTGTAGCTGTGTCAAGGCATAAACTCACCAATTAAACACTGTTTTGCAAACTAGGTTTTTGAGCATCTTTATCTCCTTGTTTAAATGGAGGATAAGATGCTCCTTAATTCACAAAATCCATGTATCACTGTGACATTGTGTAACTAGAAAGCAAAAAGCAGATGTAAACATTCAACTTGGGCATGTGCCCAAAACAACATGATTTCGGTTATGATCGGTTCCTAAAACTGCTTTGCTCTTCACTACCACAAACACTCCCTGTACAACTCCATAGCTACCTGTCTTCTATCAACAGATCAGCTGGAATCATTCAGTTATGCTATTATTGCTATGTAACTAGAATAAGCAATAGGTCATTCACATAAACAGCATATAAAATGCTTAATTTGTCCATTTTATTTGCTTACAAGTTGCAGGATTCCATAATTTGTGCAAACATTAGTAAAATGTAGATTTTTTTTTATGGTTAAAAGATAATTCTTTCATTGTTGAAGATGAATCTTAGCTTATGGAAGAACAAGAAAACTGCAGTTTGCCTGGCTGCAATTAGTTTTACAGGAGCTCAGACTAAATTAAGTACACCCAGAACACCTTATTTTATGTACTTAAAAATGGCTTTTTAGACAACATTGTCGAATATTATTGCACTTTCAAAATTAATATGTGAATTTTCAGAGTGAGGGGAAACGTACATTGGATTATTATGTTAAAATCGGGATGTGGAAAATAACTCCAGAAACAGAAAAATGTATCAAGTAACAAAATTGGCAAGGATAAGTATGAACATTAGACCACACTGCAAAATAAACATGATTCCTTGCTTAAAACAAAGAAAAATGTAGCAAAACATACTATAATAACCTAAATTAACATTTATTCAGTCATTTATTTTAATGACTGTTAATCCTGCACAGTCTTTTTTTAATTTATCCTTCCAAATCTTAACTAATTTTGATTACTGGTGTCACTGATGTAGACTTCTTTAGAGTCTGGTTTATCACAAGAATCACCTTCAGTATTCAGTTACAAAGGATATGTGCACAGTATAAAAACTATGCCCAGTGCTTTTTATTCAATGTGATATTTTTTAAAGGCAAAACTTGTTTAAAGAGGCAGAAATGCACTGTTCATCCAGTCCATGTTTATGAACAACAGGAATATTAAACTAGCTCAACTGAAAACATTTAGAGTATGTTGTGTTATTACTGATATTTTTATAGGCACAAATTAATCAAGCAGATAAAAAGAAACAAACACACTAGAGAACAATCAAAACAAATATTGTTTTACGCATACTGCACTAGATTGGTAACAGCCTTGTGGTAAATCCTACAGTTAGCACCATTTTGATACCTGAACACTCTGTAAAAGCAATCACACATTCTTAAAAGCGGGGGGAAAAAAAGTTACAAGAAAGTATAAACACAAGTCTGATAGTACTAGGGATGAGTTGGACACGTCTTTCTAAATATTTACACCTATGTTGTGAACTCTGCAGTGCTACTTAAGAAAACCAAGACATTGTTGATGAATTAACCATTTAAAGCTTTCTTTGCTTTACGATTACAAGCACATTGCAGACTAGGTAAGTAATTTCATCTAGCATTAGTCAGTCCACAACAAAATGATAGGGGAAGTTAAAGAGAGTCAGTTAGTTGCAGTTTGTTTCAATAGGTTCATAAATATAAAAAGGCATGAAACTTACCTTGCCAATGTATTAACTTAAATTGTCACCAAAGATAATTATCTCCAGCCCAAAACACATTAAGCAGGTAACAAAGGAGAGTGTACAGGCAACATACTATGGCATTTATTATTTACAAACCTTGAGATTCAGACAGAAGGCAGCCCTTTAGTTGCTATTCATAGAAAAGTTTGTGAAGCACTGGCATTTTCTCAATATGAAGACACAGCCAGTCAATTATTAACAAATAGTCCAATCATACAACATACTCGAATATCTTTCATCCCTAGCACAGTAGACTGCATGTTTCATAGTAGGAAGAGGTAAAAGCTCTAAAAAGTGAAAGGATTAGCTGTACAGTAGGTTTTCTAATCCTATTCCAGGTGTTTTAATATTAAGATAACAATTTCATGCCAGTAACAGGATGCAGTCCATACCCCAGATTGGCAACAAGTCTTTCATTTGTTTTGTTTTGTGTAACTAACAATAAACCAAGGCCAACTTTTGGGAAAAAAACCAACTCTGTCAATCAAATCTTTACCCTTTTCCTCCAAACTCCAGAAAATGCAGCTGATGGTCTCCATGAATTGGGCATTTTTTCAAGCAGGTCCATGAGTTTACACTTTTCATCAAAGTGCAGTCAAACCAAAATTGCATCGACAGTACATCATGCCAGCAGAGTCCAGCCACGTATCCGAGATAGGGTCATATTTCTGGACAGTGTTCAGATAGGATGACCCTGAGTGACCGCCAACAACATAAAGGTAGTTATCAACTACCGCTGCACCAACTCCTATTAAAGGGAACAAGATGCAAAATTCATTAAGAATATAATTTAGCAGAACAGAAACATCAAAAGCAGAGTTTTTGAAGAAGGCTGCATGTGGGTGGAAAAAAAAAAATCAGTGCCCATTTGGATCCAGGTCTCCTTTCTTGAATCACCCTGCATCCTCCCACCCCCCAAGCCAAACACTTACCTTTTCCCCCCAGTCAGACAGGGAGGAAGGACTAGGCAGTACTGAGAATGAACCAGCTGCCTAGGACAGTTCTACCCCCATGTTCTACCTACCAGTATTAGTTTTTGTTTTATAAATCTTGGTCAAGATTTTGCCATTCTTTGAATGAAAATAATTTTTATTTCCAGATATTCATAAACAGACTCTTTGAAGTCAGTGGGGCCTAAGGCTCTACTCAATGTGAGTACAGGTTGAAGAATTAGGCCTTTTATAATAATTAGGAAAAGAAATTATCTTGTAATTTATTCACACAAAGCAAAAGATAAAGTGAATATTTAGTCATTCTTTCACAGGACATTAAATTTTTTTAGTGAGCGCTGATCTATTCAGGGAAAAGACATGATACTCTGAAGGCCAAGTCCTGCATCCTTAATCTTGTCATTCTTCTATCAAGTCAAATGGCAGTTTTGTCTCTAAGGTCACCAGGATAACCTCTTGGCATTCTCAACATTTTACACATTCCTACCTGTTCTAGGTTCCTTCATAGGTCTACACACCGTCCATTGATTTTGATGGGGGTCGTATCTCTCGATGCTTGACAAGTGAGATACCCCATTGTGTCCACCCACTACAAAAATGAAGCCCAGCATGACAGCAACACCAAAGTTTATCCTTTTGTCCGCCATTGAAGCTACCGTCTCCCATGAGTCTTTACTTGGATCATAACGTTCCATGCTGCAGATACAAATAAACAACTTGTAAGCCTTGGGTTTTAATGACAATTGTTTTCACTGAGTTTTATACCACAAGAGACTTATCTGCATTCACCAGGGATTTCTAGGTTGCTTCTCTCAACTAAAAAGTTTGCTCCATTGTGTAAGTCAATGAGGAAAAAAAATGTTTAGGCTACTGGAAAAATCCTGCAGTTTAGCTGCTTTTCACCAAGGCTGGTGCAAAGAAGCCACGAAACCAACATTAGGGATGTTAGATATTGTTTATTTTAGTAATCGTGTAGCTACAACAATTTTTAGCAGTTACGCAGTTATTAAAATGCTCCCCCTCCCAGGGAACCCCCTGCCAACTCTGCGCTTCGGCTTCTATCAATCCAGGCGTATCAGTTAGTCATTTAAATGACTGTACACTAGCCAACACTCAACAACAGAAGGATCCTCCAGCAAAGTAGAACTGGCATAACTGAAGAATCAGCCCACAGAATTGCCAACAACAATTTAAAAACCTTCCCTCATGGCCTGTTCTGCCTGTACCCAGAAATTATCAGGTTACGATAATCACAGGATACATTTTGAGGAGAAACAAGAGCGAGTACAGGCTGAGGGTTCTTGTGAAGGACAAGTGTTACTATAATTCAAGGAATAACAATCATCTGAACATTTCACAAGACTGCAAGGGAGTTTAACTAGGACATCTTTCAGGCACAAGGATTTCCCCATCTTGCCCAAACACCGAGGCCGGAGGGGTGGTGATGGAAGTGGGGAAGGAGTACTCATCAAGAATGGCAAAACAGGGTTTGAAAATCACTGCATAGTAGCGGAGGATGAGACATATCCTCACTGCGGGTAAATTTGCAAGCAGCATGCAGCCCCGCAAAGCATGCTTCCCTGCGCTGCACGTGTACAGAAGACAGAATGGTTACTACAGACATAAGCAATGGCTGCAGTCCCACCAGATGAGCAGCCCCCGTGGCATAGAGGGCAGAAGAGGGGAGAAGACAGACAGAGGAACCAGGAGGAGAAGTGCACTGAAGGCAAGAAGCCTATTACAGAGGAGTCAGCTTCCAGGGCTTGTATGAGCCCGATGACCAAGTCACTAACAGGGTCCACAACCAGGGAAAACAGAGTCACTCAAGAGAAAGGGAATTTTGAAAAAGGAAAGCTAGAACTACCTGGCACAATTTCAATAGCTCTGTAACTGTGGGTGATGCTGGCAATTCCTTGGTGTTCAAGACACGAATGCATGATTGGAGTAAGGCTATCATAGCTGCTCAGTGTTGAGGTGTGGTCAGAGTGTTTCTTCCTTAAACTCTGCATTGGTTTAACACTTAAATAAGTACACTTCGCATTATTCCAGTGAGGAATGCAATAGTCCCTCCCCCAACATCTAACAAAACTCATGTCTAAGACACTCATGCGTGTCTTCGCCATTCATCAGCTGAACAGCACCTCCTTTGTCACAAACTAGGGGTCTGACTCTTTTGCCATTTAATTCAGCGCCAAGAACTTTAGCAGCAATAGAACCAGATGCCACGGCAGGAGTGCTCCATGAGCCTGCTGTTTAAAGTGAGGCCTTTTGAAGAGCGATGCCCAACTGTTCTGCTGCCATTGCTCATGAGGGGAAGTTTGTGTTGCTGCATCCTATGACCCTAATGCTGCAGCCAGAGCATAGATTTCACAAATTGGGGAGCATGGATTCTTGACCGTTTGCACAACACAAGCCATTACATTTGACTCAGGCACTGCTAGGCTGAGCCCAATGACGTTAGTTCAAAAGAAGATTAAACTGCTGCGTGCCACAGGCAAAGAACAGGAGAGACTGAGGTGCCTACAACCCTGTTGCAATGGCTTGAAACGGATTGAATGGGAGATGCCCACCAGCAGGTGGTTCCTGCTCCATGCTGCAGATGAAGGTAAAAACCTCCAAAGGCCCTGGCAACATGACCCAGGCTAAAAATTTCTTCTTGATCCCAAATCTGTCAATCAGTTAGACCCTGAGCAAAACCTGGCAGGTCAGCCATCTAGAAAGAAAATCACATCAGAGCACTGATCTATCCAATCTGATACTTCAGAGGGAGACAAAACAAACCAATACCTATCCGGTCAATTGCGCACCAGGAAAAAAAAAACCCTTCCTAAGCTTGCAGGGTGACTGGCTGAAGCATGAGATTTGAATATAGTCAGAGCTACAAGCATTATGAGCCTGTTTAGGGAAATGCAAGCAACCCTGTTCTTGCCACGGCCCAGGTAATAAGGGAATGGACAAGGGGATTCACGGCCAGAAGGGACCAGGGACCAAGATCCATGTGGTGAGAAGCTGGCAACTGAAAGGAGTGCTGCTGACTTCAATGGAACTCATTATGGGTGTAAGGTTCCAAGCTCGGGGATCTGAACATAGGACGAAGACCTCTGACTGTTTGTTTTTGTGCTCATCCTCCTGTACTGGATCTTTATAATCAAACAAGTCTAAAGCCCAGTTCAGCTCAGCAAGATACATGAGTAACCAGCCTTTTAGCACACGTGTAATCCCACTGCAATTATGGACTTGAGTAACTAAGTGAACAGAGGAGGCCAAAGCACTAGATAATGACCCTTTAGAATCTGGGTTTTCGTTTTTTTTTTTTTTTCCCATACTTGGGGTAAACACCTAATGCCTCAAAGATGCACCATGAATAAATATTCTGGAACTTTAGCTGGAAGATGGTCAATGTGCATATTTTAAGAATTTAGGATTACAGCCAGTAGAATGTGAGGACCTGCGATCACAAACACTTTTTTTTTTACATTTACAGCTTCATCTTGTTAGCCTCCGAATTTTTTAAGCTTTTAGATTTTTCTCTTAAGATTTGTATTCCAGGAAGAGCTGAGCTAGAGCACTTCAGCTGTACATTAAAAGAAGGCTTCCCAAAGGAATTCTCAGGTTGATGAAGCAGAGCAATAATTAATGAGGCCCACCGTGGTTTACCACTGATCTTACTTAGAAACGTTAACAAGCAGCTGCTGATCACAAGGTAAATATTATCCCTCATTCTCCAAGTTCATGTTAGTTTGATCCTGCAGACCTCAACAGTACGTACCTGTTCATATGGGCAGGCCCATAACCTCCGATGGCATAGATCATTCCATCCAAGACAGCAGCAGCAAAACAACTTCTTGTTTTACTCATTGGCGCCACCGGCTGCCATTCCTTAACCTTTGGAATGTATTTCTCTACTGACTGTAAATACGATTGCCCATCATAGCCACCTAAGGCATACAGTTCCCCTGCCAGAACCACTACTCCAAGAGTACTTCGGCTCTCATTCATTCTTTCAAGAGATGTCCAGGTATTTGTATCGGGATCCCAGCATTCCACTGAATTTTCATGCTTTCGGTAACTGATGCCTTGACACATGTGCGTTGCAATCCCTCCTACAACATAGATCTTCTGGTCCAGGACACATATTCCAAATTCATAGCGGGGAATGCTAAGAGGTGCCAGACCTATCCAGGAGTCTTTCTGCGGAAAATACATCTCAACACTGGAGAGGAAATAGAGAACTTGGATTAGGTGAACAGACTGTACTCTCTGAAGCTGTGCTAAGTCCTACCAAGTACTATTCATTTGTTAATGACTGGAATGAATGTTTCACACCCAGGCCTGATGTACCTTGGATCAGGCCTCAGGTCATCCAGATCCAAGAATACTGAGCATTTCAGTGTCACTGATTAACATGTGTGAAAGAGTTATTCAGTGAGGTAACACTTCCTCCAAATATACAGTAAGAAGGGAAAATTCCTATAAGCCACCATGAAAATTATCACTATATGGTCACTCAACCCAGAAATCTGCTGACAACTGGCATTAATGTTGCCATAGGAAATCCTGCCTCTGCAGTCCCGGAGCCGGCGTCAGACCCCAATACGACTCCTGTGATCATAGTGGGATTTTTCCCACTCTTATTTCTTTGGTAGTTACAGAATCCAGCAACCTCAGTCTTCACAAAAAGGTTCAAGGCAAGAGACAGATAAAAATACAGCAGCAAATATTACAGCTCTGCTGTCCTGCAGGAGAAAGCATTCCGTGCTGCAGAATGGTATGGCCTATTTTCAGCTCCCTGCTTCGGGAGCAGCTATCTGCATGTGCTCTTCCCCCTTCCATCTCTTGCCTTGAATTTTTTAGAAAAGTTAAAAACAAAGAAACATACAAACAGCTCTTTATGTCCACATGAATTGTTTAAACTCAAGGACTTTGGTTCAATTACAGCAGGGCAGAGAAAAAGCTCCCTATTTCACTGCATTTGCTGAAGGCTTGAGGAGAGCAGAAAACAATGGATTTCTGACAAAAATATTGGGAAGAGTCTTACAATCAGTACTTCACTGTGAGACTTCGCAGAAGAACAGTACCAGAGAGACTACTGGAAAAGTACGCTATTGAACAGAAAGTCACAAATTCTCATGATCTCCAATCCTTAGATCTGAAAAATTGACAAATTTCCCATTTTGAGGGTACATCTACACAGCAGTGTTATTTCGGAATAATGTTAGTTATTCCAAAAATAACATAGCGCACATCTACACACCATGCCTTTATTTTGAAAGGCTATTGAGCTGAAGGACTTCTTACTCTGACTCCTGTAACCCTCATTTTACGAGGAATAAGGGAAGCTGAAGGAAGAGTGTTCTTCCTTTGACTTCCTGCTGTGTAGACAGTGCCAAAAGCTGAATTAAGCTATTTCAACTTCAGCTACGCAATTGACATAAATGATGTTGCATAGCTTAATTCGACTTTAGCCGTGCTGTGTAGATGTACCCTGATTGTCTTCTGTGCCAATATAGGTTGAATCTCTCTAGTCCGGCACTCTCTGGTCTGGTAACATCTGTGGTCTGACATGATTTTAGTCACTTATCGTGGGTGTGGCCAATTTTCCCATGGTCCCATAAAGTTTGCTACAGCCACCAGTCCTGGTTCTCAGTGTTCTGTGCTGTTATTCAGCTCTAATTTACCCCTAAATATTTGTTAAGAGCTCAGTAAGCGGTGGAAGTGCCGGTAATGCTATCAGACAATATTGACCTCTTGTGGATCATCAAATTCTCTGGTTCGCCACCAGTGAGGTCCTGAGGGTGCTGGACTAAAGAGGTTCAGCCTGTTGCGTTTTCCAATTTTCACTTTGCTTCAGAAACACTATGTTTTCAAATCAAGTTTGGAAAAGTTAAGTGTAGTAACATCTACAGTAAATCATAATAAAGAACATAACAAATAGTTCTCTCAAAATTAAAAACTTCAAATGACAAGCTATTTTTTTCTTTAAGTCATGTAATTTTATGAGTTTGGGTTCAAGTTATTTAAACAGATACTAAACGCCTTTGTACTCTAAGAACATGTCTGAATCATGGTAGGTATTACAACCCCATCCAGTATCTTTAAGCACCACTGTATTAAAATTATAAATGGTTTATGTATGATTGCATTCTATTCCATGGGAGAGGGCTACCAAAGCTCATGCAGGAAATGAAAACATTCGGGGCGATTAAGGCCTGTCACTAAGACTACAACTAGTATATTTAAATCTCTGTAGAGTTGTAAAACTGGGCTTTTTGGAAACAAGACAGAGAAAGGGATTTTGGTATAAAACGATGACCCTGAACTGACACACGGGGCCTACTGTATGATCCAGTGAGCAGACAGGACCTCTTGACCAAGGGCCCCAATCCCAAGGAAAGGCTGGAAAGACTTTGGCATCCTAGAGATCCCAAGACACTGATGGGTAACTGCTGGTAACATTTTACCATGCAGAGCAGAACCCCTCTTGTGTTTATCTTCTCTGTAATGCTTTTACCATAAGAATGCATATGCTAGCACAGAGCAAACTGGGCAGTAACTGGCAACATGATCTTCTGGTCCCCAGAGAGAAAGCAAAGCACAGGCCGCAGCCTTTGGGCAAACTGTCTTGCCCGGATATCACAGCATGGACGGGGAGCTGTGCAGCTTGAAAATGCCAGTCAGGAATGGAAGTGACATGGGTCTCCATCAAAGACAGGTAGAAGCTGGAATGGGCCCCCTACCCATGATTCCTTGAGGGTAAATACAGGTGCAATCACCAAGAAAGTGCAACATGAACACCCCTATCATACAACAGTAGAATAAGGTTAGTGCTATAGTATTCTATGAACCACAAAACAAGTCACATTTGTCTGAAAATACAGGCAATACCCAAGAATACCAGAAATGGAAAACACCCAAGAAAAAGTCATGTTTCTCTCTCTTTCTAAAATACAGTTTGCTTTGGACATCTGACAACTCAGGTGTCTAGAGAATATGACCACTGGAGCCTATTCATAGGGAGGGACCTTGTTCAAGCTCTTGGATACCCTGGCTTGAAAGGTGGTGGGAAATTACATTTGCCTCCCTCAGGGAAGGATAGGAGCCCCTGCCCAAAAGAAAGGGAAGAAAGGGCTGTGTGGTGCGCACAATTAATCAGTTACAAGGGAGATTAGCACATCTGGCTTCTCCTAGGTCAGTGGTCTCCAACCTTTTTACACCCAAGATCACTTTTTAAATGACAGACCAAGCCAAGATCTACCGCCCCGCCCCTTCCTTGAAGCCCCACCCTCTCTATTCTCCTCCTCTCCATCACTTGCTATCCCCAATCCTTATACTGCTGCTCTTTTTTTTTTATTCTTCTGTAGGAAGAGGTTTTTCCAACATTTGGCCTGTCTACACTGGACCAAATGTCAGGAAAAAAACCCCTTCTTTTGGAAGCCACCTTATTCCTTGTGGAAAGAGGAATATAGGGGTGACCAAAAGAGCCTGTTTGCTCTTCCACTAAAAAAGCGGAAGAACAAACGCAACCCTGGATGCAGAAGAGTTTTTCTGGGATATCTCCAGAATCCTGAAAAACTCCTGCAGTCTAGCTGGACCCTTGCTGTGTTGAGACAGGATGTGTAGGCTCTGGGGTGGGAATGAGGGATTTGGGTGTGGGAAG